GTAAAGGCTGAGAAGGGCTGGGATGGGAAACAGTAATAGGGGCATATCTCAGCTCAGACTGTGACAAATGTTCTTCCAAAGGAGATAAGGTAGAGTGTTGATGCACTGATTCCTCACATGATTTAAAAGTCTCAGGAACATTACCAAAAACATACTGCTGAAGAAAAGGGACCATATCCCCAAGATAAGGAGATGGTAAATGAACCTGGGAAAAGGCACATCTCTAACGAGAATATCCAAACAACAGAGAAACCACATATGCAATGCGAGAGCCAAAAATGACAAATGTGCCAATGTGGAAGTAATTAGTAATTATTTTTAAAGGAGACTTATGTATATGTATTTTATGAACATCAGTCTCTCAAATGTCTTGTCAGTGAGGCAGCAGTGATCAGGTCTGAGAGTTTTGCTTCCAATGCTAAACAAACACTCAACAAGGGCAGAGAATGCTGAAACACTCAGGTAGCATTTGGCTAGTAGAGATAGGGTAGGTAGGTTTTTTCATAGAATTTACAATAATCTAGTGGGTTGCTTTCTTCATGAATGCAAGGACCATCAAGGTAGGTGTTGATCTCTGTATCCTCAGAAGATAAATTGGCTGGTTTCTTGAAGGCAGCAAAGAAACTAAAGAGCTTACTTTTTTTGCGAAGGGGGGGGGGACTTACAGCCCTCTTTTTGGTTCCATGGTTGTAGGATTACTTGTTGAGGAAATTTTCTTGACTTCTTGCTGCAGGAGCATTTGATTAGATTCATGAACCAAAGGTTTAGTGAAACACTAGTCAAGTTTAAATCTGGAATCCAATGTCACAACCAAACAGAATATACTTTGTTGCTCATACTGAGTCAGTCAGGCATGAACAGTTTTCTTCAATGCAGAAACAAGATTGAAATTATATTTGAACTGCATGCTGTCAATTTCAATCATCAGCCCATAAACACATGGCACTACATTTCTAGAGGTAACAATGTTTTAACCCTGTGTGAAATCTGTTGCTTCTTCAAAAGATGTCAGTTTTGTCACCAAATCTTCAAGCACAGTTCGATCATGAAAATTAAGTTTCGATGTACTAGTATCTAGATTATTCAACTTTTCCTGTGGAATCTTCAATAAAGACTTAATCATCTTAATTTCTGAGTTCCATCATGTAGACCTCTCCTTCAAGTAGATCAGTTGCTTGCACTGATTTTCGAATGTAGGACACAATTGCTGATGCTTTGGAAATTACTGTCAGCAGTGGTCCAGCTTTCTTCATTCCATCCCTGTAGTGTATGGGAAAAGCAGGGGTCGTGTTCACGAAGAAATTCAGATAAATTGTCTGCTTACTTAGATTCATCCAAAAGATCATCATCTGTGTCCCTATCTGTAGATGAGCTATCACCATCTCTCACACTATGTAATGTTTGTGGTTCAAATCCACACAAAGCAGAAAGCCTTGATCATGTTGGATGCATTATCAGATGTCACATATGACACCTTGTTGTTGATGTTAGAGATTTATTATTTCATCATATTGAACTGCAACGTTATCAGAGTGTGATACCCCTTGAAATGCCAACATGCTAGCATGACTGTTTGCATTTTCTAGTGAAGTATAAATATGACTAGTGACTCCAAGAAAGCTGCACATTTGTCTGCTACTCCAGATATCCACAGTGACATTGATGATGGATGGGTACAAGTTGCAATAGAGAGGTGACTTTTTGTTGGTCTTCATCAAGCCTGCTTTCAGTCAATGCTGTGGACAGATGTTTATGACTGGGAAGAATATACCAAGAATCCATGCATGCCATTAGATCTTGAAAATCTTTTGACTCCACCACTGAGTATGGTTGCAGTGTACCAGCAATAAAATTGATGAGTTTGTTAGTGACGTGCTTCTGCCGAAGGTGTGTAGACTTATATCTAGTTGATTCTGTACAGTACACTGCTATTGTAGAATATTGTTCATATTAACAAAAATAATAAAAAGGCTTACCTTCAGATGTGTCAGCAGATTAGAAGTGTTTTTTCCTGAAGTAAAAATAGTCCATTCACTTTGCCATGATATGACCAGATCTAGCAGTAGGAAGTATGAAGTATTCATGTACCACTGAAGGCAGTTTAGTAGTCATCTCACAAGTTTCATCAAGTCCATCTACCTTGAGTACATGTTCATCGATCAGGTGAGAACTTTATCAGTGATGCTTGGGGACTTTTCACTGCTGATTATACTGTATCTATTTGATTTTGTTTTCAAGTCTAACTGGTCAAATTCACCAGTCGATCCTCTAGCCCCAGGTTACTGTTTTTGCACGTCATGAGGTTTTAATGAATCACATTCAAAATTTAATTAAGCTACTTTCATTTCATGGTATACCAATAATATATAGCATACAAATGTAGCTAATTATCTATATTTTAGTAGTATACAAAAATAAAACTAAGAATTTCCCCTCAGGTGAGAATTGTGGCATTTACTCTCTAGGCATCCACTCTTCTCTAATTTATTTACCACCCCTCCAAGAACGATGAAATTTATTATAAATTACTTATTATCCCTTTCCAGATGGGTCACAGGTGAAAGGCCATGTCATCACATTTGTTGACTCGCATTCAAAATTTTATTTCATGAATTTCTGTCAATAAATTTAGTATCAAACTGTAATTATAATTCAAATTTTAGTATTATACCTTACTCAATTTCTTAATTTAAAAGTAAATATTAAAAAAAAACGTTTCACGTGGTATGTTGAATGCAGCACTGATTCAAATTAGATGTTTGGGATGTCCAAATACTAAGTCTGTAGTTTCATACGAATTAGGAACTCAAATTACCGACATTGACAAGCTAGAATATGAAATAAGAACCTCTTATCTTTTCAATTTGCTATGATATTGCTCATGTAATAAATGAAACAGTGACACCCTGCCCACCTCTTTCCATTTTAGTAAATGATCCCTTATATACACTTCTATATATGACATGAATAACCAATCAAAAGCTCAGAATGTCTCCCTAGTAGCTTTCTCAGCCATTTTAATATGTTTGGTCACCATCTCTTTCTTTCAAACCAAGATTTCAAGAAGGTAGGTTATGTCTTTAGTCTACTCAAAATTTCATATTCTTTTAGACTGAAATACAGTTTAGTTACTAAGCTCGATAAATTACAATGGAATTCTATGGTACTGATATAGTAATTTATGATTTTTTGGTTATTCAACTGTATATATATATAAAATTGAAAAAAAAATTTCATATCGTTCACATGCAAAATTTTAAAACACTCAGCAACCAAGTACAAAGGTCGTAACTAAAAGAGATAATTGTTTGCTTTACTTCTTTAGTTACTGTTCTATGTTTTAACAAAAATAAGTTTAAGAACTTATTTCTAAATAGCAATAATCTATACACATATATAATGTATAATAATTGAAATGTGACTGTATTTTACAAAACACTAATCTACTAAAACACAGCCAAAACAGGTCACTTTGTAAAAACTAAAGGTCAGTTTTATATTATTGGATACAGTAACGTGAGTGCACGTGCACCGCATCTCTGTAACTTCCGTATTGTTAGCCAGGCATAGCTGAAAGGTCAATATAATAAAAATAGTAAATATATATAAATGTATAATGTTACGAGATTTAAGCTATTTAGTCTAAACATTTATGTTTTCTTATAGTCTGTAGTCATTCTAGAATGAAAAAGGCATAACTTATATTTACTTCTTAACTTTTTCAACGTGGTTACGAGATCGGTCAAATTGGCCAAACCTGTACAGTGATTCATTAGTGAAAATAACATAAATATAAAGTTTTAAAGAAATGTTTGTTAACTATCTGGACATTATAAAGATTTTGCATGTGAAATTTGAAAATTTTCTGATGCACAAAAGTATTTTTAATCTTCAAATGAAAATTACTTTGCATATCGGATAGGCAACTTGCAAAACAAAAAAAAAAAAAAAGGACATAGAAAACATTGCTTTACAAGCCTTAAGACTTAATAAAAAAAAATTGATATTTTGCGTATAAAAGCACTGTAATGTTTACTGATAATCTGCCAAATTTCATTAACATATGCTTACTAATTTAAAAATTATAGCATGAAATGGTTACAAGGTCGGTCCTAGGGACCTAGCCCATGCTGAAAGTTATATCATCATCATCATCGTCCAGGCAATGCAAACTTTTTATAACCTACAATCTTATTTGGTTACAGAGCCATCAAATAGAAAATCTGACACCTCCTGCCACATCTTTCAGAAACTGTCAATAGTTCTCTCTGATGTTCAATACTATAGTATTTATGACCAATAGAAAGTCAAGGTGTTCTTCTATCAAATGACATATAATATAACATTGTTTTCTGTACAGAGAATTGTCAGTTTCTCTTCCACTTCAATTTTATTCCCATGGGAAACACATCGACAAGCTTAGGTAAATTCCTAACAGCTCTTTACAGAAAGTTACAAAGACAAAAAATTGTTATAGTTAAGACAAAGACAATTTTGAGACAAAGAAAAGTATTTTTAATCTTAACATGAAAATCACTTGCCACTCAGACTAGTAATATAGTAGTATATAGAAATACTATCTATATTCATGGACAAATCTTTGGTAAAAATACTTCATTAAAATATGTGATTTTTTGTGTAAAAAATATTTGTAATGTTTACTAAAAGTCTATCAAATTTTTTGAAGATATACCAAGTATATTAAAAGTTATAGTATGAAAACTAAGGAGTACAAAACTGGTTAAGAGATCGTCAATTCGACTGAACCCGTGTGGAAAGAGATATTTGGAAATAACATTGCAAACTGAAATATTGGCCAGGGGTACTGGACTGGATAGAATGTTCCAGATAAACATAATTTTTGTGCCATACATTGTTCTTATCTGGCTGCATATTTTCAGGCTTGATATGGTAAATTAAACATGAAAATTATACAGGTTCACTCACAAAATTTAGACTTTTATATAATTTACTTCGTTCATGATAATAAAAAATATTACCTTATTATCGGTCCTAATTGCAGAATGAGAAAAACAAAACGAACAATCCACTGAGCACGAGACACAGGTGTCATTTCTTGGTTGTTTTCATCTAACAAATACCAACGAAGACTAAAGCCTGTCATCGTTAAAGCAGGGACAACAACAAAGGTAACAGTTAATCCAAAATACCACATGTCCCCATTATGGTAATGCAAGAAACACATTACCAAATCACTACCAGTGTCAAAAACGAAACTTCCAAGACACCATAAAAGTAATACACAATCAAATATTGTAAACTTGAGGTTGTCATCCGATGGTATAGCATCAGGTGTTTCTGATGAGGCAACATCACATTGTGTAGGAGTTCTATCACTCCCATTGGCCATTTCAATGCTTTCCATTTTCATATCATTTTCAACACTATTTTGACAACCACTAGCACTGTTGAGATGAGCCATCTTTACTCAGTTGAAGTATTGCATTATCATGAAAAATAAATACTAAGACTACATACAAGTAAAATACATAACAGTTTTAACTGCTTTTTTAAAAATAAAAGCACAAATTTTGTTACAATTCATTGGGCAAATATGAAGTCATAAAAGGCTCTCAGTGGTGTCTTCTAGTTTCTTCTTTGAACACCAATTACAGAAAATGCCTGTAAAACAAAAGAAAAACATAATTTTATATCACTACATATACTGCATGAACAAATCAAGTCCTAGCTATCAAAGAAGAAATTTGACTTTGATGTAAAATAATGAAATTACATTTTCTGGTAGATGGTTCATTAATTACATGTAATAAATATTTTATAACTGTAACCTGAAAATATTTCGAAGGAACAAAAATTAGCTCATTATTCATGAAATAGAGAAATCGTGGTAATTTGAAAAAAAAAGGGGGGGAGAAATAGTGAGGTACACAATTAGAACTGGGGTTTGTTAACAGATTAATCATTGGACTTGTTATATTCAACTAATTGATTATTCTCAAGAGATGACTAAAACGAAACTTGTAATGCTACAAATCAGGTTTTGATACCTGTGGTGGGCAATGCACAGATAGTCCATTGTCCAGCTCTGTGCTTAAAGACAATCAAAATGGCATTATTTCAATTACTTGAATAGTTGGAATGATGGAAAATGGTAATAATCAAAAGGTAACACTCTCCTTCCCTGTAAAATGTATTTCCGGTAGATACTTCCACACACAAGACAAAATAGTAGTTGTGTCTGCTTAAGAGACTTGTGAAAACTACCACTTATTCTCAAATGAAGCCACATTAATTTGCAGCAGAACCCTCTACCAACAGGTGTGCAGCACACCTTCTTGCACAATGAATCCCTCTATTTTCATGCTCTTGTATTCTCATTTTTTGTGTGAAGTGAGGCTGGGGTATCTGTTGGAAATACATTTTCAAGTAAGAAAAATGTTTACTTCCAAAAGAAATACTCACTTCCATACATAGAATGGCTAGAATCCCATGTTGAGACAGTGGAGAGACCAGTAAAAAAGATTACCTAGATGTGCAAGCTTAAGAAAGCACTGGAAGGAAGCTTTTGGGTTGTGTGACACCCAATGGCAGGGGCTTCTTAGGGCACATCCCTGGGAGACTGCATCTAGTCTCATCCAGGGTATACACTTAAGCCTGTGTAGGAAAAGAAGCAAAAATGCCAAAATTGTGTTGTTAGGATGGGTGGAATAAGTACATAGCTGTCCAAGTACTTTCACACAAGCTGTTGGACAGGCAATATGTGTAGTGAGGTTAAGGCTTGTTCAGACCATACCTTCTATGCTCACCTCTTCTACCATCAGACTCAATGGGTCAAAACCAGCTGTGGGAAAAGGGCACTTGTGATAAGTATCCATGCTCACCTTCTCTACCGTCATACTTTAAGGCCCCATGCCAGTTGTAGAAGGAAGGCACTTTATGAAAGCCCGCAATCTGAGTGAAATATAGGACTGTTCCCAATGCACCCAAGATTGGCCAATATCAAGATTTGATTTTGAGAATCTGCATTTGTGTATCCCAGATGATCCTAATGTATATATACTAATGATGTGCATCAAGCTACAAACTCATCTTCAAATAAATCCCACACCTATCAGACTACAACAAGAACACATTGTCATCACTTGGTTGTTTGGCATTTATTGGTGCAAAGCAGCTAGGCTATCTGCGCCAAACAACTAGTAAAAATGCTGGAAGTAAAATACAATAAAATGTAAAAAAAAAATAAGGTAAAAGTGAAACAATGTCCAAAAGTAGGAAATAAACTAAATAGAAGTAAAAAGGCCAATGGTCTGCAAAATGCTAAAAACACAATTAAGTTGGACACTATCCAACATCAGGGGTAAACATGTCTAAAATGGTGCTGCCACTGATTTTCATAATGGCAACAGGAAAGTAAAATGTTGGCAACTGTGATCTGAGTGTCACAAAGGCCACACATTGGCAGATCAGTCCCACATAAAAGAAAACAATGGGTTAAAAAAACTGTGACCAATGTGTAGCCTAGCCAAGACAACTTCCTCCCCTTGATCCTTATGGAAACTAGATGGCCAAACAAGTACAGTAAATTTGATCTGGGAAAACTTTTGTGGTGAAGTTGCTAACCCCAAATCAACTGCCAACTGGCATGAAGCTGGGCCTTAATCACAGAAACAATGTCCACATACAAGACCAGATTTTAAGCCATCTGTAAAAATGGGAACAGAAGAATGGTTCAAAAGATGTTCACCAAAGATGGTACTTCCAATCGGGAGTATCCACCTTCCACAGATGACTCAAAGAAAGGTCACAAGTGGGGATGGTAATGAGCCATGGCAGGATGAGCTAATTATAAGAGTCAGCAATGTTATCCAATGACAGACCCAATTCAACCAGCTACGCCTGGATATGAAGGCCAAAAGGAGGATTTACAGTGCCCTTTTATGCTTGGCATGAAGCTGCTTAATGTGAGAAATGAAAGTAAGCTTATGGTCCAAGATGAACCCCAAGAACTTCACCTCAGGAAGAACACCACCACCGAGATGGAGCTTAGGATCAGGATGTAACCCCAGTGGTGGCAAAAATGAATACAAATGGTTTAGGAAGAAAAGGTAAAACCATTTGCTGTGATCCACTTCAACAAGTAAGTGAGGGCAATCTGCAGTTGCCACTCAATAAACTTCATATTCAACGACCAACAAGAAATGTGGAAGTCATTGACATAGAGGTCACTTGCAATGGTAGGAGGAAGTTGTTTAGTGATAGAATTGATCCTGATACTGAAAAGGGTGGCACACCAGACACAACCTTAAGCGACTCCAAGTTCCTATGTGAAAGAACTTGAAAGAGTCAACCCCACACTGATTTGGAATTGACTGTCAAGTAAAAAGGGGTAAATGGCCAAGCAATCAACATGAATGGAGGTCTCGAAAAATAGCAAACTTCTGTGTGTCATAAGCCTTCTAAAAATGAAATAAAACAGAAACAAGATGCTCTCTCATGAGGAAGGCTTCCCGGATTGAGGTTTCAAGACAAATCAAGTGCTCCATAGTGGAGCACTGTCAATGAAAACCACACTGGGTGAGTGAGAGAAGGTTGTTTGATTCAAGGAACCAAACAAGATGTGCATTAAACATTCTCTCTAAGACCTTACAGAGACAGCTAGTCAAAGCAATTGGATGATAATTAGAAGGAATCTTGGGATCCTTCACAGACTTTGAAAAAGGAAGAACAATAGACCTGCACCAAGCATCTGGAAAAACATTCTACCAGATCTGTTTAAAAACAACTGGAAGAAGAGCAAGAGAGGTAGGAGAGAGATGGTGCAGCATCTCATAGTGAACATCATTGGGTCCAACAGATGCCAGACCAATGAAAAGCAAGCTTAAATTCCACCAGAGTAAATGGGCAATTATAATCATAAAGATGATCAGCCTGAAAGGAAGGAGTTAATCACTCAGCTTGAGACTTGATGGCCAAGAAGGAGGGAGAAGAGACAGAAGTGCTGGAAAAGTGGGAAAAGCACTCCCCAAGAGTATTGGTGATGCTCTGCACATCAGCACCTTTCTGGCCATTGGAGAGCAAGATGGAAAGGGGATGGGGATGGACCATTGTGGCAAAAAGGATTATGTGGGTGGTGTCATTGGATAAGGAAGGAACTGAAGAGGGTAGAAAGACCTGTAAAGAAAATATAGTGTGTAGGAAAGGTGGTAGAAAATGCTGCTTGAAAACCCACAATGGACAAGACAGAGACGTGTGAAAGAGGAGGTAATATATTAGAAGGCACGTGGATAAATGAGAAAATGGTGACAAATAGCCAAGTACTTAGGTACATGGAAGAAATAACGTGACAAGAGTGGTACAAAAAGAAAGGGTATGGCTTGAAGAGTGAAGGACAAAATCAATTCTACAGGTGAAGTTGTAGGGACATCACTCCCCACTGAAAGAGAGCTGTGTGAGATTGGATCAGAAGCGATGGTATACAGGGAAGGGGTGCTCTGACAAGATAAAATGACCTTCCAAATCTTGTCCCAGATGACTTTGGAATTGGTAGTAGAAGAGATGGTGGTGAACTTAATCCAAGATTCTCTCTGGCTTTGACATTTGACCTGCTGAGCATGAGTCTGCTGGAAAGCAATGCAGTTGGAAATAGTGGGATACCTTTTGCAGGTATCCCAGGCCCATTTCGGAGCCTTCCATGTTTGCTGGCAGGCAGGAGAACACCATGGACAAAGTTACAGTGGGAAATGTGTCAAGGTTTTGGTGACAGAACAAACAGCTGCTTGAATTATACAATCAGTTACTGCCACCACACTGTCATTAATAGATGGAAGACTAATGATAGCAAGATCAAGTTCCAAAAGAGTAGTGAAGTAAAGCCAGTCAGCCTGCTCCAACTTCCACCATGGTACTTGGGTTGGGAGGCAACAACCATGACCAATCTCTCTCAAAATGATGGGAAATTGATCCCTGCCCTATGTGTCAGTGTCAACCTTCCAATAAAATGAAAAAAAAAGCAAATGAGAACAGATAAATAAATCAATATCAGTAAAAGACTGACTAGGTGCAAGAAAATAGGTAAAAGAAAAAGTATTGAAGAGAGAGAAAGGTTTTGATCTGAGAGCATATGCTCCACAAAATGACCCCTCCCATCAATATCAGCACCACCTCAAAAGGGATCATGTCCAATAAAATCTCCCAAGATGAAAAAGGGAGACAGCAATTGTTCAATGAGAGCATTAAGGTCTGATTGATTGAAAATCTCTCCTGGAGGCAGGTAAAGAGAACAAGCAGTGATGGTATGACCCATGGGGATATGAATGTCTACAGCCTCCAAGGGTGTATTGATTGGCACAGATAAAGTGGGTATATGCTGGTGAACTAGCACTGCCATACCTCCATGAACTCATCCATCACACAACCTGTCATTTCAGTATAAAGAAAACTGCTGAAAGGTGATAGTATCAGCAGGTCTCAGGAATGTTTACTGTAAGGAGAGGCACAAGGGATGATAGGAATCAATCAAGGTTTTAATGTCATCCAAATTAGAATGAAAACCTCAACAGTTCCACTGTATCAAAGTGGTTATTTTTATTTTGGTAGTGGAGAACTGGGGTAAAAAACCCTTCTGTTTGTGACCACAACATTTGTCTTATGAAAAAAGT